CACATCACCGATTCTCTTCATGCATTTTATTAATTTGAAGGTGGCCGATGAGCGTGTTGGCCACTTGGAGCTGGTCGATGAGTGCGCGGGCTACTTGGAGCTGGCAGGTGAGCATGCTGGCCACTTGGAGCTGGCTGATGAGCACGCGGGCCACTTGGAGGTGGCAGGTGAGCGTGCAGGCCACTCGGTGGTGGCTGATGAGCGTGCGGGCTACTTGGAGGTGGCCAATGAGCATGTAGACCACTTGGAGGTGACTGATGAGTGCGCGGGCCACATGGAGATGACCGGTGAGCATATGGGCCACTTGGTTTGCCGTTCTGGTGACTTGTTGCTACGTCATCAACGGTTCGCCGATTCGCTTCATGTGCTTGTCAGTATTAGATAATCCTCCTTGACTCAGATAATGATGTTCATCATATTCTCTCCATCTTGAACTACATGCAGGAACCTATAGGTAATTTTTGACGTCTACACAGTGGCCTTCACACTGAAAACATGGAGACATTACCTGTACGGGAGCAGTTTGAGTTATTCACAGACCACCAGAGCCTGAAGTATCTATTTTCTCAGAAGGGACTCAATCAGAGACAATGATGATGAGTTGAGTTTATCAAGGATTACAAGTTCGCGATTCAGTATCATCCGTGGAAGGTGAACGTCATGGCAGACTATTTGAGCAGGAAGCGTCGACATCTGGTTGCGGCTTTGAGGTGCTCGTTGTATAGAGACCTTTACACCCTTAGCTAGTTTGATTTTAGATCGAAGATCAGAGGGAGCAGCGTATTTTTAGGAGCTGTGTCAATACAACCATCTTGGAGTGATAGAGTGGCCGGAGCTCAGCTAGAGGACTATTGGATTCAAACCCAAAAGGGAGAGATTTCCAAGAAGCCTAAAGCCGATTGGACCGTTGGAGCAGACGAAGGCCTTCATATGAAAGGTCGATTAGTCATGCCAGCTAGTGCAGAGCTAAAGAAGGAGTTGCTTGACGAGACGCATTATACTAGGTACACAGTGCATCCAGGCATAACAAAAATGTATAAGGACCTGAAGAGATACTTTTGGTGGAGCGACACACGTAGGGAGATAGCAGAATATGTTACTAGATGCTTTACATGTCAACAAGTGAAGGCAGAACATCAGAGACCAGTAGGAACCCTACAGTTTTTACCCATTCCAAAATGGAAATGAGCGGATATCTCTATGGATTTCATTATGGGGTTACCGAGATCGAAGAAAGGGAACGATTCTTTTTGGGTGATAGTTGATCGGTTGACGAAGTCAGCATCTTTTATACCAGTAAGGACTGCCTACACCGCCGAGACTTATGCGAGGATCTTCATTCGGGAGATAGTTCGATTACACAGAGTTCCAGAGATGATTGTGTCGGATCGAGGCTCAGTTTTCACTTTGTATTTTTGGAGGAGCTTCGAGGATTCATTCGGCAGTAGGTTATCATACAGCAGTATATTTCACCCGTAGACAGATGGGCAGACGGAGAGAGTGAACCAAGTTTTGGAGGATATGTTGCGGGCTTGCATCTAGACTTCCAGGGTAGTTAGGAGGACCACATTCCTTTGATCGAGTTTGCTTATAACAACAGTTATCAAGCGACGATTGGTATGGCTCCGTATGAGGCATTGTACGGAAGGCCTTCTAGATCCCTGATTTGTTGGGCAGAGCCGGAAGATAGCCTATTACTTGGGCCAGAGCTTGTGAGGCAGACTACTGTGAAGGTAGCATTGATAAGAGAGTGTATTCGTGCTGCTCAGAGTCGGCAAAAGAGCTACACGGATCAGAGGTAATGACCATTAGAGTTTCAGATTGGAGATTTTGTCATGTTGAAGGTATCGCCAATGAAGGGCGTTCAACGATTCGGCAGACGGGGAAAACTTGGCCCGAGATATATCGGTCCATTCAGGATAGTGGAGCGCATTGGAGTCATTTCATATCGTCTAGATCTTCCAGCATCGATGTTAAGTATACATGATGTTTTCCATGTTTCAATGCTTAAGAAGCCTCTACGCGACGAGGAGTGGGAACGAGTGTTAGACGCATTGGATATTAAGCTTCATGATGATTTGACTACCATTGAAATTCCTGTTTGTATTCTTGCCAAGGAGGAAAAGAAAAGCTTAGAAACAAGGTTATTCCTCTAGTCAAAGTTCAATGGAATCGGAAAGGAGCTGAGGGGGCTTCTTGGGAGAACGAGGAGGATATGCGTCGCAACTACCCACACCTGTTTGAACAGGTCAAATGATATACCTTTTGTTTATGATTATCTATATAATTATATTTATATTTAATATTAGAATGGGGTATTAACACTTAACTTATAATCACTTGGAACACATGGTATATATATGAGGGGTTCCTTGTTTGGATTTTTCGCCCAACGTACTAGTTTCTTTTGATTAGGGATTAAGTGGGAGTATCTACATTCTAAATTGTTAGGTATAAATGATTGTTATGATTCATATCTGGGAATTAATAATACGAGATGTGCACGGGAGGGTTTCTTATCTGGATTATCCCCTCTTGGTGATTTCCTTATATTATTAATTCCTAAGATATGATTGCAGAATTTCGGGAACGAAATTCTTTTAAGGGGGGAGAATGTAAGACCTCGAAAATTTTTATATGAGTGTGATAAATAATAATAAATGTGTTGAATTATGATAAGTAATATATTTTAATGTTTTAGTATGCTAGAAATTGATTTAAAATCAATTTAATGTATATATGTGAATATATGAGTGCAAATGCACAACTCATGCACAAAGAAGAAATCTGGTAAAATAACCACTTAAGAGTTTATATATTTTACACACTGATGCAGTTCGAATCTAGAAAAACTCAAAAGACCAACATTGTAGGTCTCTTCAGTAGCTTTTCAATAAATCTTAAATCACCTCATTCTGATGTCGGATTAGAACGTTACGGCCAATATACTGAGCACAGAAACATGCATTTTACTGTGACGGAATTTCTTGTAGCTTGTGCGGGTTTGAACTCCGATTTTTGTTCCGTTTTCAGATCATTATCAGCTATGTATAGGATTTGTATATGTGTTTTAAGACCTATACTAAGATCCATGAAAGTGGAATGTAATGTATGTTAGACCCTAGAGGGGGGTGATTAGGGTGTTATGCTAATCTAATCCGATTAAATACCAATTAAAATTAATTAACAAGTTATCCTAGCAAGTATGAAATATAACAAAATATATGAGCTAGGATAAGCAATGTAAATAATGAGATATATCATATATGATGAAATATATATGCAAGGATATATATAAACTAACACAAGGGTAAACAATATGAACTAGATAGTGGATCATATAAATAATGAGCTAATGACAATGGCGATAAGAAATATAAACACAAGTATAAATAAACGCCAAAGCACACTCAAACACAAGATATGATCACGGAGTTCGGACCTTCCGTCCTACGTCTCCGCTCCCCACTCCCGGGGAGAAATCCACTAACACAATCCGGTTTGGAAGCCGGAACTTCTTCTACACACTCCACCGATCAACGCCACTCCTCACAATCGGTTTTCTAGTTCACCGAAAACTTCACAACACACTCGGTTTTATAGCTCACCGAAAACCTTACAACACTCACAATGTAACAAATATAAATTTGTTCTCTATAATAGATGAGAACTCAATTAAGCACAACTCAATGTTACAACTTCTCACAACCCTAATATACTATGTATGTAAATACAATAAGCTCAAAGTGGGTGTGTGTAACAATGAGTAAAATCAAGATCAAACTAAACTCAAATATAAAATCTAGCTTAAGAACAATGATAATCAAACAAGTATATAAATGTAAAGCTAGAGTTTGAGTTTAGAAAACTTCTCAATTGATAACAAGAGATGGAGGGAGGATAGTTGAAAGCTCAAACTTCAATGGATAATCTCCTCAAGCTCTTGTGGAATTGATTCACAAAACCGAAACACTCAAATGCTTAAAAGCTTTCTTAAAACAAACTTAAACAAACACTAAACAAGTTTAAACCCTTGTTTAAAAACTTCTTTTAAAAACTTCTTGGATTAGTTGAAAAAGAACAGCAATGGGGTGTTTATACCCACTCAAAAACTCAGCCAAAACCCCCAAAACAAAAGACCAAAAACCCAGCCAACGGTAACAAAAAAATAGCCGTTGGAAACTGTCAGACTAAGGGGCGGTCGACCGACGAAATTTTCGGTCGACCGCGATCTAGGTTCCAGTCTGAGAATCGAGCAGGAACTACGTCGGTCGACCAGTGCGGTCGACCGATGGAGCTCTCGGTCGACCGCACCGGTCGACCGACCAACTCTCTGCTGCATGGTGACGAAAGAACAACTGATCGGTCGACCGGTGCGGTCGACCGAAAACTGACACAGCAGAAAACTGACATGCTAATTTAAAACACTGTTTAAAAATATCAAATAAATTCCAAAAAATGTAAAACTTTGGGGAATGATTGTAAACATGATAATAAATATGCTACAGCGACTGATTATCAGAAAGGACCTCCCAAATGAAAAATATCATCATTTTACAAAATAGTCCAAAACATGAAAATATGAGATACTTGAATTTTGATGTTTTGACATAAACCAACTTTTAAAACTTTGTAAAATATTTTTATAGACTTAGTAAAACATGTATAAACTGATATTGAAGTCTACAAACAATATTTTCACAAAGTGTGTGTATATTATATTGAGCTTAGAGTATCTAACACACATAATATAAAACCTAAACTAAATATACCAAAGCTTGATCTTGATCTTCAATAGGCTTGACTTGATATATTTGCGGATGAAGCTTGAACTTGATCTTTAACTTTGAGTTGCAAGGCTTCACCGACATTCCGCCAACCTCCTTTGGATATGATCGTTGAAGCTCTATTCCATCCATCCTCCAACAACGTTGTTTGTCTACAATACATAGGAAAACACAAACACTAGACAAACAACATTAGTAGTAAATTGTTTGTAAATCATCATCAAAACAAGAAGGCCAACAATGTATGACACTACATTAGAAGAGAATCACTTTCCTTAAATCATGGTAAATGTCTTATAATGCTCTCCTTAAAACCTGTAAGATGTTTCGTCATGGCTTGGGCATGAGCTGGTGCTGGATGTCAACACTCCTCACTAGCATAAAATATATGTGATTTGTACTGTCAAAAGCCAAAAATAAATGCATGATTTCTCTCTTCATTTTCATCTCTCAAAAACAAAGAAAATAAGAAGAAATCTGGTCTAAAGTTCTCTCTTACAGAAACATTAAACCCTTTTCTCTCTAAGGGAATCTCTATCAAAGAGCTCACCTCCCAAACCTCTTTACCAATTTTTTAAACTCTCTACAAAGCCTCTCCTTCTCCTCTCAAACAAAACATTCCTGCAACTTTTGAATTGTTTTTTATATTGTAGAAGAGGAAATAGGGGAGTGTTCCCTATGCCATTTTTTTAGAGAAGACATGGGACAGCGGTTTGCAGCAATGAGGGATCTTGCACGAACGTTTGCTTGGGGATTTTCAGCGACATCGAGGCAAGATTACCCTAATCCAAACCTTCCCTGTAAATTAGTTAAAATTTTAAGAAGTTAAATGATGATATTTTCATGCTTGAGCTTAAACTGTTATGCTAGAACAAATTAGATTTTTGATGATAATTTTCAATCTAATGCTAGAACTGCTGCACATGTATAATGTTTAACTAAAAATTGGGTATAACAAATGAACTCCAAATTAAACTAAACTAGTTCCAAATGAAAGATATGTGAATCTAGTTTCTAAAACAGAAAACCATTCTTAAAAAGAGTTTGTATAGAGAAAGATATACTCTTTTTATTAATAACATATCCTGCAGAAAGATGCTGCACGTGTATGATATTTAACTAAAAACTAGATATAGCAAATAAACTCCAAATTGAATTAAACTAGTGTCATATGAGAGATATGTGAATCTAGTTTCTAAAAAAACTATTTAAAAAATAGTTTGTCTAGAGAAAGATATGATCAATTTACTAATGATTTGTCCTACAGAAAACTACGGATATGCTGATTTGACAAAATTAATATATTACGTGAAAGTTTTCTTTGAATTTCGCTCTTTAGTATTTAACTCATGATTGCTATGACACATATGTAATTATGTGGATGGAAGTATGTTGTACGAGATCTATACGTGGTGCATGTGTTTAGCTATAGAGCTCTCATAGCTTAATTTCGATATTAGTGAGATACGTGGGAGCACGTATCGTCGGGGAATTTGATGAACTACGGACGGTTTGATCCCTTGAGAGAGAGAGATCGAGTATGTAGGCAACTATATTAGTACAACCGAATTTTTAAATGATGACCATTTATTTCATTAGGGGCGTTAACCTTGGTTTCCGCATGGTTATGCGTAGAGATTAATATGCCTAATTCTCGATCCGCACGGTGATGCAATAAATGATACCTATTTGCCGATCCGTACAATGATGTGATGATATCTATTTGTCGATCCGCACAATGATACGATAATATCTATTTGTCGATCCACATAGTGATGTGATGATACTTTTTTGCCGATCCGCTCGGTGATGCGATGAGTTGGAAGAAGTTCAGGGAAATGATAATTTTACACATTTTATAACTTGAGTATTTGGTGGATGCCAAAAGTGTTGATACTCATTGTTGAAATACCTTGTTATGCGAGTACACGAGATACACATGTTGATGTCTATTATGATGCTTTACTTTCCAGTCATATTTCGATTGCTTAGTTCAAGGTTAATATTTAGTTAATTACTACCTGAGACATACGGTATATACATGAGGGTTTCCTTGTTTGGATTATTTCGCTCGACGTTACGTCTCGAGTTGTAAGTTTCTAAATATTAATTTCATTAGATACGGAGGAAATGATTTAGGTAGACTATGCTTAATAGATAGAGCCTTCACTTCATCTAGTAGCCCTTCCTCGGGGACGGATGGAGATAATCTTGCTAGCGCTCTGACGCTCTTGTTGTTGTTCTTTTATTTTATTTTAAACTTTCAGGCAGCTGAGAGCATCGGAGAGTCGTAGGGTGATGGAGTTCTTGCATAGTCACCATCGTGTATTTTTACTAGTATGGACTCCACAGTAGTCTTATGTTTCCATTCAATCATTTGAGTTTGTACTCATATTGTTAAGGCAATTTACCTTAGTATGATTTCTTGTCGATTTATGTTGAGACATATCATGTTATTTTAGACTCTAGATGTATATCAATTATATTCCAGTTTAGTTTATTTGGGACATGATTTCATTTATGAGATATATCATTCTGTATCATGTTTATAGTATTTATTTTCCTTATGTGCATGTTTTGTACCTTCATTTATATTGGTTTCCACTAGAGGATATTACTGTGATTGGTGAAACATGTTGTTACACAGTGGAGATGTATGACATGTTTGACATCTCTGGTTTCACCTTGGACTGCAGCTAAGTGTGAAAACAGGGGCGTCACACAACAATTACAAACACCACCCAAAAAATAAAAAACAATCACAAATAGCCCCATGAATATTGTAACAACGCCTTAAAACTCAAATGGTACAAGTAAATTCTTAAAAAAAAAGAGAAGTACATATAGCATCAAAACAATTCAGAAATTATAAACTGCCTTTTATAATTCATAAATTACAAACAACCTCTAGAAAATATGAAAATATCTATATTAATTTGTTAAGTTTAAAAACTACAAATAAACCCCTATTGTGGTACAAACAAATCCCTAAAAATGTTATAATCAGTAACTATAAAGTTTCAAAGATTACAAATATTCTCATAAAAGTTTTGCAAATAGTCATTTGAAAATCTTACAACTAACCACATGAAAGTCCTACCATTCAAACTATGTACTTTAACTGATAAAAAAACTCTATTCTCTTCTTCTCATAATATAGCAATAATATAGCAACAAGAGGTGCTTACTATCTCTTCCTTTATGAGCAATTAATGAATTAATTAATAGATAATCCATAAATTATAATCTACAAAGAAATATAATTAATCATCTCTCTTATTACATTAGGATAGCTTAACGTATTTGAAGGGCACATAAACCAACATATATAAACAAAGAAATCAAAACAATCCGTGGGAGCATGGGCTAAATACTTATAATATATAATGAGAAATTGGTAACTAATCCTAAAGGCATTTAAAAAAGTCATCTAGGCGTCCAAAACAATGACATGAATATATAATGAGAAATTGGTGAACTAATTCTAAAGGCATTACAAAAAGTCATCTAAGCGTACAAAATAATGACATGTGTCAGTTGTTATTTTTATATTAAATTACAGTTCTTATATTATGGATTTATTTTCATTTTTATTCTTATAAAGTAGAAATTAATCACCATATGAATTCTAATTTGATTAGTTTATTTTTCTACAGTCCTCACTAAAAAAGATTCAAGAAATTTCATTTCCTTCTAAATTTAAGTTATGATTTATAGAAAGAATTCTTGTGGTATTATTTATTTTTGAAGATGGAAATATGGTAGGTTAGAGAAAATATATTTAGCCTCTTTTTTTGCGCCAACATCAAACTTAAATAAACCCCTTTCGTTAAAATTCTCTTCAGGAGTTTTTCATCTATATGGTAATATTTAAGCTATACAAAAAATGTGTCCTCTTGAACATTAATACTCTACTTTGAGTTTACGCTGGAAGTGCTTTGAAGTAAATGAACATAGTTTCGTTCGACAGTCAATGTTCTTATTGTGGCACAAATTAATTTTTAGTACATATGATAAATCCTAATTTACAGTGCATTGTCCTCTTCCAGACTCTTAAATTTAGTCGTTCTAACCATTAGACAAAAATTTCAAAGTTATAGCGAAAATCGAGGATTATAGTTTTATATTAATTCTAACATGTCCCTATAGGTTGAGCATCCTTTTTTATGGGTTGAAACCTGGACTCACGCAGCAGTGTCAATTTTTAAAAATTTCGCTTAAAATTCATGCCCGATGAGATTTGAACCTAGGTTACTTTGATACCATCTTAATTTTAGTCTCTCTAACCATTATTATACTAAAACTCCAAAGTCATGATAAGGATCAAGGATTATATTTTAATATTAGTTCTAACACAGACAATTCATTCATATAAAATTAATTTTTCATGAATTTTTATTATATTTTTATTCTTAAAATATCAGAAAAATGTTGGATATTGTAAAACAGGAGTTATGGTTAAGCCACCTAAATTTGCATTTAAATTTGAAATATAATATGTCCACACCCTTATCGAGTGATACAACTTTTTTCTTTTTTTTTAAATTTAGAATAATATGAAAAACTGGGGATCTTATAAAAAAAAGAAATAAGTGTTGAGCCATCTAATTTTGGATTTCAAGTTTTAAAATAAAAGTCATCAACATCCTATTTTGAATTTCAAGTTACCTAAGGAAAAAAAACTCTGGGTTCAGTTATATATTGTTGACTTTCAAACTCAAGCGATCCACTTTTTATCTCATTTGTTATTTTAGTACTCTATGAGCGGATTTGTAAGGTAATAGCACTTTAATTTCTTTAAGACATATATTATTAGTCGTAGGAATAAACCATTTGTATGATTCAATTTAGAAGTACAGACATAATAAAGAAGAAAGAATCCATAGATACTAGAGAATTCAGATATACGTATCAAAGTAATCACACTCACCCGTGCAAGCTCAAGCAAAACACTCGTAGAGTTTTATAAACATGAATGAGAATTAGCATGCAGAAATCTCTCTTTGTTCTTGTATATCTAATGGGAAATTTGTGAATCATTCCTAGAGGCACAAAGAGACGTCATGTGTCAAAAAAAAACTACCATGTATCCATCTATTCTATCAGAAGCTAACATGTCTACATATAATTTTACCGTCACCTAAGAATCCTCATCAAATTAAAATTATTCATTAGTAGAAAAACTAAAAGTTCCAAATAAGTCGACAAAAATTAGAAAATCACAAACAATCCCTTAAAATTAAAAATTACAAATAAATTTCTAAAAGATATGAAAATTGTAAATAGCACTATAAAATTAAGAAAATTATAAATTGGATCTTTTAAAATCTATAAAAATTATTGACAATCCCTAGAAAATTTAAAAATTATAAATATTCCTCTAAAAGTTCAAAAGTTAAAAATTGCCCCTAAAGTTTTATAGACAATATCGAAAAGGTTTATGACCAATCCCTTAAAATTTTAAAAAATTATAAATATTCCCCTAGAAATTGTATAGATAACCCTCTAAAAATTTTACAACTAGCCCCATGAAAGTTGTGAAAATAACAATTAGCTTATTAAAAATTTGTAAATATTACAAACATCTATCTAAAAACTTTATAAACACAATGTTGCAATTTTTTCAAAAATTACAAACACCCTTCAAAAAATTCAAAACTAGTAAATAGCCCCATGAACCAACACCTTAAGATTCAAAAACTATGAATAAACCCCTTAAATAATTCAAACATTACAAACAACACCTTAAAATTTAGAAAATCATAAACTGCCTCTTTTAAAATTCAAAAACTATAAACAATCCCTAGGAAATTCAAAAACTACAAGTAGTCCTCTAAAAATTTAAAATATTACAAATACCTCTCCAAAATTTTACAAACAATCCTAAGAATATTTTAAAATTAGTCCCTTGAAAGTTTCAAAAATAATAAATTTCCTACAAAAAAATTTCTGAACACTCCTTTGAGAAGTTTACAACTAGTCACATGACAGTTATGAAAATAATAAGCATCATGCTGAATTTGATATACAAGAAAGAACTGTTGGATGTCGACTCAAACTTCATGTTAGATCCGGGTTTGAAGGCTAGGCACCGTCCTAGTAGTTTTCTTGGAGGCCAAGTTCACTTGGTGGGCAAGTCAGAGATGTCTTTAAATAAGACATCTTATTCTAGGAATTTTTTTTTTTTTTTTTGGTAGTGAGGGGTAGAGATCCAATATTCTTGTAATTTGGTTTTAATAGAGGGTGTAACCTAATTCGAGGGTATTATGAGAGAGAGGGGGTTTCACTGTCTTTGTCCATGTAAAAGATTATAATATAGAGGTGATAGTGGATTATTTTTAATCCCTTGATTTTTTCCTGTTGAGAGTTTTCCATATTAAATCTTGTGTGTGATTATATTTGCTGTATTTGGTAGTTTTTGAGGTTTTGTGAGATCTGAATATCTCAACAAGTGGAATCAAAGTGACGTTCGACGATTTGTGAAGGTTTGATCAGTGTGCAATCACTGAGGCATTAGAGATCAATGACACAAGGATTGACATTGGTGGAGTAGACGAACAATAGATGGCGAAAGCGCTACCAAGAGTTAGATTTGTTAGTCTTTGTTGTAAGGTTGAAGGAGAGGAATCATGTGAACAACACGTGAAGAAAAAATTTAAATAAATGAAGGTTACTGTATCAGGCTATTCCGGTAGGTAAGGAGGGTTAGGTTAAAATTTATTTTTTAAATTAAATTCGATGGTGTAGATTAATTTGTCTTCTGATCGGAGAATTGGAGGCAAAATTTGACGATCCCCTAGAACTACAAGAAATTACGTCTTTAACGAAGGGATTTCCCTTCGTTAAAGAGCTGAAAACCTTTGTTATTGTATGCTAACGACGGGAAAAAATCCCTTCGTCACCCGTCGTTGAAGCCCTCTCCGCTAAAGGGTCACGAAGGGATGTACTACACGTCATTATAGAGTCCATAACGACGGAACATATTACCGTCGTTAATATTTACGATGGTAATTATCACCGTCGTTACCATCAGTGACGGGGATATTTTCCCGTCGTTACCATCAGTGACAGGATATTTTCCCGTCATTACCATTAGTTACCATTAGTTACCGGGATATTTTCCCGTCATTACCATTAGTTACTGGGATATTTTCCCATCATTGAAGACTGATTAATGACGGTTGGATACCGTCGTAAAAGTCCTCATAATAAGTAATTAGTAACCCATCAACGACGATGCTTTCCCTTAGTTGATGAACAAAATACGGTTCCTAAAACCGTCATTTTAGACTACAAATTTCTAATATACATTAATAATAATTTTTCCATTCATAGGCAACTATCATATTATTCTCGACTACAAATTTCTAATATACATTAATAATAATTTTTCCATTCATAGGCAACTATCATATTATTCTCAACTTGACACTAAGATTCACAACAAAAATATATTAAAAATACCCAATAATGAATAAGAGGGAAAATAAAAATTCCATTCATTAATAACATCAATAAATAAAATTCCACCATCCTCAAATATTCAATACTAATAACAAGATTTAATATCCTAATTATTCCAAAGAAAAATACATGAAACTATCTAAAACAAATTAAAATAAAAGTTTGGGGAAGACACATTCTTTCATCTCTAATCATCGTCAAAAGAAGACTCGAGCTACCCCTTCCTAATCTTGCATGGATAGCCTAAAAAATTTAAAAAAAATCACATAATTAAGAAATATCAATTAAGCAATTATTATCTTATTAATTAAAAATCTCATTTTCTCAAGTGCAAGTAGTCAATCATAAAAGTATATAAGTGATTTAATTTGTTTAGATAAGATTAATATGTAGTTGGTTATGGAATTCTAGTTAGTAGTTACAAATAATGATTCTACAGTGTCTCAGAATCAAGTTGATGAATGAAACTATTATTTATTCATTACCTAAGCTTGAGAAGTTAAATTTTCCTGACATCCTTTCGTTGATAGTGTTATCTAACAACATGTATTCCTGCAGTTTTTTTATTTTTTAATTCACTAGTTTCTTATGCTAAATTTAAGGTGTCAAATAGACAAAAAATGGCAAATGCGGAATTTTCCATTTCCAATCTATCCAGATATCAAAAGGTGTGAAAGCATTAAATCCAAGGTTGTAAATCATTTTACTAACTCGAATCAAAGTTGCAAAAACATAAACTTTCCACCAACACAAATATAGGATTTTAAAAAATGTCACCTTGCATGTAGCACATAGCTGGGACCAATCCCCAGCCAATAAAGCAGGATTATTCAGTTCCATCTTCAATAAAGGTTCCTACAAAATGCCATTGAAAGATTACATTGGTAACACAAACACTAACATATATTGCCGAGAACATGGCTATGGACACAGGACATAACATATTAACGAGAACTTAAAAAACAGGTCATAGTGAAATGTACACATGGGTAATAACAAGATATATGTATGTATATGTAACACGATGAAAATGCCAAGTGATGGTCAACAATAAAATTGTTAGAACAAAATGAATGGATTACTCAGAATTGTCAGCAAATTCAAGCAACACAGCAAATTCAAGCAACACTAATTTATCGTCAGGGCTAAGCATTTTGAATGAGTTTGGACAACATAGGAACTCCATGAAGGGACATAAAGCAATTTGGATACTTCTTTCTTTAACTATTACTTATTAATTAATTAGGTAAATAGATTACAACCTAAACAAATTTAGACATTTTTTAACTAATAGACAAATTTTGATCTCATGAACCTAATTACAGAAATAATGGACTTTTGTGTCTTAAAGCAAAAAACCAGTTTTAGCTTGGACACGGCTACATGTCCCTGGAAGTACATGATTTATAGCCTAAAACACTAATAAGCAAAATAAAGTAGGTTATTATGTAGGATCACATACATCAAAATAAATGTGTAACTATATCAAGTGAGACTTGCATAAACAGGTAAAAGCCTTCAACTTCTGTTTAATTTTTCTAACAAGTTATATGTTACTTCATTTTGTTGTTAAACAGGTACCTAGTATGAGCATGTGTTAAGGATGGATGCAGTTTCATATGGCTATTTTGTGCCTAAAAATGAATTTGATTCCATACAGAAAACTTCGCCGCTTGACCTCCTTCTCTAGTCTAAATAAGCATCAAACTCTGACTTGAGATGGAAGCCACCGAAACAGCGGGATGCAAGAGCAAAAGTAGGGGATTCTCACAACCCATCAAACCCCCAGCGTGCTAACTTAATTTGCTCCTCTTTCACTCACCACATTTGACTTAACAAGGAAAAACTTGAACTTGTTCTCCCAAGAACATGACCAAACAACTTTCACTCACCACATTTGACTTAACAAGGAAAAACTTGAACTTGTTCTCCCAAGAACATGACCAAACAAACCAAAATCGACCGCAGGAAGAAGAGCAAACTTGTTCTCCCAAGAACATGACCAAACAAACCAAAATCGACCGCAGGAAGAAGAGCAAATGCCTATGCATAAAATAGTATATCTCAATCTTTCACGAACAAACTATAAAGCTTTGAATACAGGAATCCTTAAAATTCTTTCATAACATTAAAAAACAGCATTTAACTCCGAACTGACCTGTAAAGAAAAACTGCAGCAAGCACAAATGCCACATTACTCAAAACATATCCCGACAACGCCAAAACCGCTCTATACCCAATCATCGGAACCAACGGAGCAAAAACTGAGACAATAAAATACAACGAAAAACTCCGTCATTTCCAACAAAATCCTACCAAAAGTTAAAAAGTTAAGATAACAACACTATTTAAACTGTGATCAAAGCTAAAAAGTCATTGAATCATTAGTCAAAATTAATTAAAACAACAGAAAAGGGCATTGAGAACTTACCAACGTGGTCCAAAGTAGAGGCCAGCTTTGTTCTCTCCCAAGTTCTCTATTTAAAAAAAAAAGTTCCCACACAACAACAAATGTGATTTTATTCCGTGAGCTCAAAATTAAGAGGAGGAGAAGAAGAAGCAATTTCAGAAAAATGGTAATAATCCCGATAACTTTGGACCGGGACTTTCTACTGAACCAACGGAGGCCCAGAGCCACGTGGGCTCCGGCGGCCGCCGCGATGGCCGCGCCCAGGAGAAGACCGTGCACCCAGGAGAAGCCCGTGCACAATCCAGCCACTTTTGCTTCCCGCCGACGACGAATCCGAGGAAGGAGCATAGATCGCCATCGAGAACTCACACTCCGCTGAAGTCTGAAGCGGCTATTTATTTATTTATTTATTTATTTTCTTCCCCTCTTTTGTTGAGCGGCCGGTGTGGAGACGAGAGAGAGATTTGGGGATTTGGAGAGAGAGAGGGTTTGGCCGTTTGGGGGTTTTTAGATGGAGAGCAGATAAAAAAGAGAGGGGAAATGAAAAAATAGGAGGGGAAATGAGAAAAGAGGCGGTTAATTTTTTAGACAACCTAGGCGAAGATCTGGAGAAATGTGATTTTTTTTAAACTAGGGTTTCATTGCTGCGATTGGGGGATGATTAGGAGGAGGATTTTGGATTTCGGGTTCTAGATGGGGCTTCAGGGATTTTAATAGGGTGTGAGTTTTGTTAATAGTAATAGGTTAACTTTTCAGTCCTATTATGATTAGGAGTATAATTAATGAAGGTAATGGACCCCTTTGTCTTTAAGGAGATCTAATAACGACGGCATTAGGATCAAATCAATGAAGGGACTAGAAAACCGTTATCTCTTCTCACATCATTACTCTACTAATTGTGATAACTCGACGAAGGGCTTTAAAACTGTCGTTATTATATACACATTAATGACGATCGACAGGCCCCTTCACTAATTTTGGTCGTTAAATATCGGATTTCTTGTTTACAATGTGATGAGTTTATCTTTGATGTTAGTTCAATTAAATTCAACTTCCACAGTGATTGATTTGAATTTAGTTGTGGTTGGAGGATGATGACATCTTTGGTCCGAAGTTTGATATTTCACTATTTAATGTAATGCCCCAGTTTCAAACGTAATAGTTATAGAACGTGACTTGGCCGGCAATGTAACCATTCGGTCACATTCACGCCTCTAGATCATCCTATATATCAAAATAAAACCAAACTACACAATAGAGCATGTAACCAAGATAATAAAAGAAATGTATGGATGAAGAAATCTCCAAAAGGATTCCAAATACGAGTCACAACTATTCATGATAGGAAAGAGTAAAGAAAATTTTACATTCATAGTTCAGAAAAGTCACATGTGACTCAATAGAAAGCCTTAACCGAAAAACTACCTAAATCAACTGAATTGGAGAACTGATAGGATGAACGGTGATCACTGCCGCTGAGCCTGCTCCTCGAAATACTCTCAGTCCTACGAAGAAAGAAAAGTTTTTTAGTCTGGGGCACGAAAACCCTAGGGGAGTCAGAATACTCCTAACAAGCATGAATAATGAGGGAATTGTGCGCGTGTAAATGTAGGTGGCATATAAATTCTAAATTAATAGTGATGAAAGAAAATGTTAATCATGAGATCAAGATAATGTTCATCACCAACCACATAAACATATTATTATTATTATTTTAAACATTATTTGAATTAGAGAAGAATATTTTCATGTATATAAATCGGTTCCCCATAAACCATCCCGGGAACACGACTTCAAGTCAAGTATTGGCCTTTTGGCCCATGTATATATAACTCAGGATATCAGGAATGCGCATTTGCCCACTAATAAATATGTTATATTATCCATCTAATTCCCCTTTAAAAACCTATGTTTATCGGTTTAATTAAGTGACTATGCATGAAATGTTATACACTAACCACAGAGTTACCGTGGAACAACTTCTGTAAAACTATAAAAATAAACGTGTCCCAAAACATGTCCAATCAAGATGGATGCATTGTCTAGTCGACGCTACAATAGTAATAGCCAAGAAAATACCTCATATCAGGATGTCGATATCGAGGGCATAGCCATTCTATGAAAGCACGCTTATAAGTCATGTTACTAACAAGAGTCCTCTTCATTCATAGTCTCTCCTATTGGATGACAACTAGGTGATCAAACATATCATCAAACATCGAAACATACCCTCATTCAGCAAAGATAAGGTATATAAAAGTTTAGACTATAAGTTAACAAGTTTACCAAGGTAACAACCACAAGGATAAATAAATAAATGATAAAACTAAAAAAAATCACATGAATTCAAACCCATGACTCTTATGAACTTAAGTAATATAGACAACCCCCTAGCCACTAATATCTATGTAGGGTTATGAAGCACGAAAACTGATATTACAAGTTAATAGAGAAACATTTAAAATGTACAAAAGTAGAGATCAAGTTATTTAAAAACTGCGAAAAAAAGACTTTTTTATTTTATTTGAAAGGCTTTCTCAAAAATTTTTAATAAAGTTATTAATAATTTTTCAAAACTGAGACAACATGAAAATAACACTATATCTAAAACCCAAAATCCAATATAATAAAGTTTTAACCAGCCACTCATAAAACCTATCAATATCACCCTGTAATGACTTGCTCATATAAATCTTCACCTATTTATAGCTTTGCCATCAAGTTATTTATAGCTCATGTCATCAACTATTTACATCTAATTCCATTTATACGAGTTGCCGTGCGAGCACCTTTGATCGCGGAATTATCAAAGGTGGGTTGAGGAGAAAACAATAAGAACACAAGAATAACTCAGGTTTTGGGCGAAGGAAAATACCTTCTCTAGATTATGAGTATGTAATTTACAATCTCTCACAATCTCACTCTAGAATTGAAGAACAAGCTCTCCAAATCTCAATTATAATTTAATCTCTCTTGATTAAACTCCCTCATTCTGATTGTTTTAAACCCTAAAACAATCCCTTATATAGGTTTACAAACAAGGGTGGTAAAGTGGTAAATAACCAAACCCAACCCAAATAGGAAAACGCGTAAATAGAGTCCTTAACGAATCTGGAAATCTCCGATGAGTCGACTCATGAACAGTCATGAGTCGACTGGTCAGAAACTTTTGCTAACAGGACTTGATTTCTTGAGTCGACTCAAAACTGTAGATGAGTCGACCCATGACTGATGAGTTGACTCATAAATGATGAGTCGACCGAGCAGAAACTTTTGATAAAACGGCTGGGTTTCGTGAGTCGACTCATGACAGGCATAAGTCGACTCAACCTGATGAGTCGACTCATGTACATGTATGAGTCAACTCACAAGCTGAAATCTGGATACTTGACTCTTCGATTCTCTGTCCTTGTTTCTCGCTCCAACCTGCGTTCCCTTATACTGTTTGACACCTCTATTCTCATGCTATCATGAAAATCATCTATCCTCAAGCTCCTATGAGGATCGCTAAGTTCCGAAGAGAAGATACACCCGTATCATGGGTCCCCCCTTTAGGAACTTGAAGTCCCGTTCAAATTAGAACTTCAGTTGAGGAAACTCGCGAGCTCCTCCTTCCTTGTTTAACCACTTAGCCTTGCTTGGAACTTGACCTTGATGTCCAATGAGAAACGACTCCTTCATCCCCCATCTAGTCGTGCGTCTTTCGCTCCAAAATGTAATCTTCCTTCAGCGGCTCCTCTCTATCAAACCACAAGTCTTCAACATGCGACAAGATCACCTTGTCATCCCCTTCATCATCTAGCAATGGAGGCTCAAACAACTTCAAGTACTCGGCATTGATTACCGAATACATGCCTAAGTAAGGTGGTAAATCGAGCTTGAAAGCGTTGTCGCCAATCTGATCTAGAATTCGAAATGGACCATAACGTATCAGTTTCAACTTCTTCCCTTCTCCCTTTAGCCTCTCCTTACTCAATTTCAGCCACACCATATCGCCCACGCCAAAGTTACAATGAACCCGATGTTGATCATGCTTCGCATTGTACTTTACTTGTGACTTCTTTAATTGTGCTTCAACCAAGGCATGAATATGCGCAATCTTCCCCAAAAATCGCTGAGCACGTTGTCTTTCATTTCCCTCCTTGCCGTCCATCGTAGCTTCACTTGAAAACACGAGATCAAACGGACTCGGTGGTAAGAATCCATAACAAGTCTCAAACAGTGACTTTCCTGAAGATCCATGAATCGCCCGATTAAAAGTAAACTGCAAATATAGCAAGCTCTCATCCCAAGTCTTGGGATGTCTGGAATTATACCCCGCAACATATGCACCATAGTCCGGTTGACAACCTCCGTTTGCCCGTCTGTTTGTGGATGAAAGGTCGTGCTCTTCTTCAATCTAGTGTCCATCAAACTCCACAAAGAATCCTAAAAATGTCCGAGAAAGCGGCTATCTCGATCCGAAATAATCGAACTCGGCAACCCAAAATGCTTCCACACATGCTCGAAGAATAACTGTGCTGCGCCCGCTCTCATCACGGTCTTTTTGCATGGAATTAGGATCACCATCTTACTGAACCGGTCCACCACAACATACAAATAGTCATGCCCGCGCTTGGTAGTTGGCAACCCTCCTAGAAAATCCATGGATATGCTCTCCCAAGGCCTAGAAGGAACCGGTAGTGGTAGGTACAATCCCCTCTTCCTGTTGGAAGGCTTCGAAATACAGCATAACTTACACCCTCCAACATACTTGGTCACATCATCAAGCATACGTAGCCAAAACACATGTCGCTGTAGATTGAGAAGCGTCTTCTGAATTCCAAAATGCCCTTGCACACGTGAGGTATGGGCTTCCCTAATCCACTGCAACCTATCACCCTCCTCCGGAATGCATAGTGATGTCCCACGATATAACAAGTCATCTTCTCCAAGTGCATACTCCCCCCTTTGACCAGCCTTCGCCTGCTCGAACACACTACCGAAGTCTCTACTGGATGTGTATAGCTGTACATACTCCAAAGGAACCAATGGCTGAATACACATCGCCACCAATAAAGCCCTCACCGGCGGGCGAGACAACATATCGGCCAACTTGTTTGTCGCCCCCTTCTTGTACCTAATAATGATGTTGAAAGCCATCAAATAAGACATCCACTTCATGTGCCGTGCCTGTTGTAGCTTCGTCTGGGCATGTAAGAACTCCAACGGCTTGTGATCTGAGTGCACAACCACCTCCTTCCCCAACAAGTACACCCTTCAATGCTTAATC